CCCCTCGGCTCCGCGCCGGCTCTGGGAGCCCTGGTGCTGGTGAGAGCGAGCGAGCGAGTGTGTCCGCTGCCTCCCTCTCTCCTGTCGTCCTCACTGGGCTGGGGCGGCGGCGCCGGAGCGGTTCCCTCGCGAGCGGGGGCGGACCGAGCGGCTGGGAGAGGAGGAGGAGCGCCCGGGCCGGGCGGAGACGCCTGCTGGCTCCGCGGAGGCACTTCAGCCAATCGGCGGCCCGAGCCAACGGTTGCGTAGGTCTCCCCGCCCCCAGGGGCCGCCTCTCTCTGAGAAGCCACGCCCAACTGCTACCCGGCCGCCTCTCTCTCGACGGTTTCCGCGCGGTCTTAAAGTCTGGTGGTTAGCAGCTAGGGGGAGGACATTGGGTGGCACGGTGGGGAGGCTGCTAGGTGAGCCGGAGCGCAGCGAGAAGCGTGTGGGGCACACATGAGAGCTGGGAAGTGGGGGAATTTCACCTTTTCCACGGGCCCTAGCTCCTTTTTTCACTATGGACTCCCCTGCTCTGCCTTCACGCGTGTGCCGCCGCCCCACCTCCGCGTGCGCCACCCGGTTCCCTTCGCTGCCGCGTTGAACGCGTCGCAGCAGTGGGGGTTCCTCTGACGTGAACCCCCCAGCCCCGAGATGAGCTCTCAGTCCGCCACAGCCTTGCTGACCTTCCGGAAGTCAGCAACGGGATAATTCCCACCACAACTTCACAAGGCTCCGTTGTGTGGACTCTGTTGCGGATCGCGGAACTGGAGCGGGAGGCAGGGTTGTGGCCGTGGTTGCGGCGCCCGGACGCCCCGATCCCGGGCTAGTGCCCACGCCGACTGCCGGCTGCAGCGTGCGGAGGTGGGGACGAGCGGCTCCGGGGGCGGAGAGGCCACCCGACCCGAGGGAGTCTCACGGCTTTTGCGCCGAGAAGGGACACGCTGGTGTGGCCACTCTCGGGCCCAACGGTTGCCTCTGGTCTGTAACGCTCTTTGGAAGTTATTCCCACGACAGTTTAACAAAAGCCCCTCCAGACCCTCCATCTTTTGGGAATCATTTTATTTGTCAAGTAGCGTTTCTGTGCATAACACGTTTTGAATCCTTGTGCCGGTGTGAATTCCTGTGACGAGGAAAGTAGTAACCTACCACCTTGACAGGCTTTCAACTTTTTTAAAAAAAGTTTTGCTGCATTTTTAAGGTTTCAAGACCTCCAAAATATATCACTGGCACCGTTGTTTTTTATTTATTTTTTGTTTTTAAGCAACATCGTCCAAATTTTTAACACCCAGCTGGGTCTTTTGAGTGTTAATTATAAAAGGTGGGTATTTTTTAAAAAATCCTTAATGGTTTAAATTAAGAAGCCCTACTACAGCTACAGTAGAGTATTTAAAAATAAAAAATAATAATAATAATAATAATAACAATAACAATAATAAAATAAGAGTCGCCTTGTACCTCTTTCCGAAAATGTTGGGACATGTTTGGGGAGAGCGTATGCTGAGCCCTTTTCATCTCACAGTTTCATGCCTTAAGACGTTAGACTGGACAGAAGCCGAAATCAGTTTCATTGATAAAATGGGGAGACAGAATTATTTTCAAGACGTTTGAGGCCGGCAAAATATGTGAAAGCCATTTTTTCATGTAATTTGAAATTTCCTGCGTTTTTTGGGTGTGATGTAGAAATCTTTACAATCAGGAGAAAATTTTGTAAGGACTTTTAGTAACAATCATTGCCCCTTTTGCTATCAAACCCCAACTGCCCTGGAACCAACTTCCCTGGAAAATTCTACTCCATCTCATCTCCTGTTTTCACATTTCTAAAGCTTAAGGTGAAGTACTTTAGGTAACCAATAATGTTACTCTTGCTGGATATTCACAGATCCCAGTGAGTCACCTGTCTAGATTGGGGTATTTTCTGTGGTAAGCTAATATTTTATGTCTGAGGTGATTTTTGCATGTGACTCAGGCAAAAGGTCTTTACAATTACCTTGGCAACAAGAAGCCATTGGTATGAACTCTCCACAACCAATCCATAAATTTTATGTCAGATTTGTAATCAGTAACGACTTTCATACTTCTATTTTGGGCCAATATTAGGAAATGCAGATGGTTGCTTTCCCATCATTCACCTTTCTCTTCCTCTTTTCCAACAGCCCTGGATTTGGGGCGAGAGATATGCCTAGTTCTGAAGAAGCTGACTGCGCTTCTCTGTTTCTAGTGAATGACCAGGAATGGGCATGTACCCTAAGGCAGTCCAGTTCATATAAATCTCAGGACTAGTTTGGGTTGTGACACATATGTTTTCTTTTCTCTGCTAGATATGAACTAGGATTCAGTGACCCCAAAAGCTATTGGCAGTTCCTTTTGGTTCCTGGAGTATTATTCATTTGTTTATTCAACAAACATTGTGGGGAATCCATGCCCAACACTGGTATGTGGCATCTTTTCTGGAATACTAGCGTTGGGTTAAATTCAGTCTCCCTATAGTTGTGGTTCCCTTTGTGAGAAGGGTACTTGGGAACCTAGGTTGACCAGGCTGCCCAAGTCCTGCACACTTGTACATTGAAATCCACCAACTCTCTGAAGCCTGTCCAGAAAACAAAAACAAAAAAACTTGATTCTAAAGTGGATCGGCTTGGCGAATCCTCAGACTACTGGCTTATGTTAGAAATTAAGAAACTGAATCACATTAGGCACTTGCCTGGTTCTACGGGATGTCTGCAAACAGACCTTTTGCCCAACTCTTCAGAAAGGCAGGGGTTATCTCCCCCAGAAGACAACATGGCCTTCTAAGGACCCACGGAGAGGTGGAATTGAAGTCCTGTAAGGTTGGCTTGCTAGATAGAAAAATAACCACTGTTCCAGCAATGTTCTCTGGGATGGAATTTGCTGAATCCATATACTTATTTAAATATATGGTTACATCAAAATATTGATGAGCAGTTGATTGTCAATCTAGCTTAAACCCATCATCTTTTACCCTTTTGCCTTCATAAAAGAGGCTTGGTTTTTTTTGTGTTTTTTTTTTTTTGTTTTTCAAGTATCCAGGCTTCTCCCCAGGACCCTGTGTGGCTTAGGGGATACTTTGCCAGCTCTGTGGATAGATCTTGATCAGTAACCCAACAAGAAAGCCCATACTTCTTGCCAGTTGGTTCAGAGATCTTGAAAGATTGAGATACACTAAAAGAACACATAAGCCAATAAACTCCATAAATTGGTGTATAAGGGGCTCCTGTTGGCTAAATCTGGCAGAATATGAGTATCAGAAAGAATAAGATGGTCCCCCAAAATAAAAAAGAATCCAAGTGCATAGGGATTCTCAAATAAAAAGAGGTGGAGTTGGGTGCAGGGAAAGCTCTTCCATGCAGAAGAATGCCAACTGGAAATTGAGAAGGAAGGTATCATTTTGCAACCACTAAACATAATAATTGATTCAGGCATTTTTGCCAGTGGGTGCAAAGTTATTGGGAAGCGAAACATTCACATGTCCTCAAAATAACACCTCAACTAAAAGGGGGAAAGGTACTTTTACACGGATAAACCTGACGGATACCACCTTAACCATATGGTCCCAATTACATTACCAATAACGGGACAATCTAATGTTTTTCTCATGTCGGAGATGTCTTTGGAAGTATACACTATTTGTAGTATTTTTGCCAAAATGTTTACACCGAATCTAATCATGAGAAAATAAGACAAATCTAGATTGTGAGACATTATATGAGACAACTGGACTGAATCTTCAAAAATATAAATGTCGCGAAAGCAAATATAGGCAGGGGACTGTTCTAGATCAAAGAAAACTAAAGAGACATGATGACCAAATGCAATTCATAATCTGTGATTGGATCCTGGGTTGAACAAACAAAAAAGCCCTAAAAGACATTTTGGAGACAGGTATATTTGAGTATGGACTTGTTAGACATGGTTACTGTGTCAGTGTTTTCTTGGGTAGCATAATGACGTGGTTATATAGAAAAATTCTCCTTTTATATGTGTATATGTATTATTGACTGTATTCTCTATGCTGTACTTACATCCCCATGACTATTTGTAACTACCAGTTTGTACTTCTTAATCCCTTCACCTTTTTTACCCACCTCCCTAACCCCTTTTCCATCTGACAACCATCGGTTCTCTGTATGAGTTGTTTTCGTTTGTGCATTTTTATTCTTTAGATTCCATATGTAAGTGAGATCATATGGTATTTGTCTTTTTCTGTCTGACTTATTATTTCACTTAGCATAATACCCTTTAGGTACATCCATGTCACAAAAATACTATGAACAATTATATGCCATCAAATACCAAAATGCCCTTGTTTACAATTGATATATGCTGAAGCACTGATTGTTGAAATGTCATGATATTTATAACTTATAAATAAAACAAGTATGGCAAAATATTATCAATAGGCAAAATCTAAGAAGTTTTTATGGGCAAGCATTGTACTACATCTTTCTATAGGTGCAATTTTTTTTTTCAAAA